GGGGCTGAGTTTCTGTCTCCCTTTTAGGGGAAATATTCTGCCCTTTTAATATTTCCTAAAATATCTCATTTTCTTAGGAGAGGGGTGGGTGCTAACTTCCTACAGTTGATTATGATTCCAGCAAAGAAACCGAAAAGAATTTGGCAAGAATGTATTCACGAAAGTCAATGCAAAATCAAACAATGTAGAATTCAGGAGAAATTTCTGGTCAGTGAGGACAACTAACCAGCGGAAAGCCTTGCCTTCAGAAGTTGTGGATGCTCCATCACTGGAGGTTTTCAAGGAGAGATTGGACAGCCATTTGTCCATAACGGTATAGGGTCTCATGCTTGGAGAGAAGGTTGGACTAGAAGACCTCTAAGGTCCCTTCCAACTCTGTTATTCTGTAATTCTGTAAAAACTGTTGATTGTATTTGACAATCTGGTCCAAATGATCATGCTTTCCTCTTACAAATTAGTACTTCTGCTTTTCAAATTTCATAAATATCCTAACTTCCTTCTTTGCCTCAGGAAGTGATCTCTATTGAGACTTAATATACAGTTGCGTTGAAAAACAATGGCTTCTTCCAAATACCAGGCTCATATTATCATATGTGGTGGCCGTGTCCCAAAGCAAAAAAAATACTGGAAGAAAATACGCATGTGGCTGGAAATTATGACAAAACGACACATAGGTTTAAAACCTGAGACATTCTTGTTGGGCATGCTTCCAGGAAACTATAATAAGGGTAACACATATTTAATCTTATATTCTAACAGCAGCCCAAGATTGTATATGCGCAATACTAGAGAAATCCAGAAACCCTACAGATCAGTGGTGGGTTGCCCCTGGTTCGGACCGGTTCACAAGAACCGGTAGTAAAACTGGTGGGAGGCCCCGCCCACCACCCCGAATGTCATCATCAGCAATCTGCACATGCACAGAAGGCGAGGCGCGCACGCGAACAAAGCGAGCACATGTGTGCGATCCCGTTGCGAACCGGTAGTAAAGGTAAGTAGAACCCATACCTGCTACAGAGGGATATTATAATCAAAAAAATTCTAGAATGTGCAGAAATGGATAGGTTAACCCTAAAAATCAAAGGAAAAGAAGGCTCGGAATATTTTATAATGTGGGAACTATTCTATAAATGGTTGTGACAGATACTGAGGTTAGAGGAGTGGATTTATGTGAAATATGGACTACATGAGAAAGAAAAACTGACGAGTAAATATTTTGATGGTTATATAATAGATACTATAATGGAAGATAGTATACTTTTCAATAACGATTGATATTATCGCATATATGTTTATATATGATTATAATGATGATGATGATGTTTATATGTTAACACTTTGGACACCTAGAAAACACTCTGTTCAACATAGAAATGGAATATGTCAGGGGTGAAATTAAAACATTTCCCCTAGCGGTTCTGTGGGCGTGGCTTCTTGGGGGGAGGTCATGTGACTGGATGGGCGTGGCCAACTCGACATGACTCACATTGAGGGGCTCCTCACTGGCCCCTCCCCTCCCAGCCACTCCTTGTCGCGAATGGTAGGAAAATGGGGAGGGGAATATTCCTGCCTATCATCCTTCCCTCAGTCTGTGCTGAGATTGAGGAATGGATGACAGGCAGGAAAATCCCCTTCCCCATTTTCCTGCCTTTCACAAAAAGGGCTCCATTCCAACTGCTCCCCTCTGTCCCCCTCCCTCCTGGGGACTATCTTAAAGGGACAGGCTGCAGCAGCTCCATTGTGAATGGAGGGAGAAAAGTTAGCATTCTCTCTGCTGCATTTAACATTGAATTCTGTGGAATATCGAGTGACTGGAAGAGGAGAGCAGTGACCGGCTGGGCATGGGTGGGGCCAAGGAGGGATAATTACTACCGGTTCAGCAAACTGATGCCCATAATTCCTAGCGGTTCACCCGAACTGCTCCAGGATTTCATCCCTGGAATATGTGATATAAAGCAATAAAAAATATTTCACAAAAAACAACAACAACAATGGCTTCTTCCGTTAAAAGGCAAATAAATAGCAAATGAATTAACACATTCCCCCAAACTAGTCTTCCTTCCTCAAGATCGCACCTTCCATTCGGTTGGTTGCGCCCCAAAATCTACGGCCAGCAACAAAGAAAACAGCTTTGATTAGTGTTAGTAACTGGAAAGAAAGGGTCTACTTTGAAGTGGTAGGTGTCACCTAATCTGTGGGGAATTGAAATATTTAGCTACAGGAAATATTGGGCTGCCAGAAAATTGCCTTCATTTCATTGTAGGGCCAACTCCAAGGTTTATGGGTTGTCTCTTCTTTCTGCTTTGATTGCAGACCCAGAATGGAAGATGTTGTTGGTGAGAAGAGGAATGTAAGAAGAGTCGAATAAAAAAGCTAAACTGATTGCCTTATTTCACCTGTTGGCCCACCGGATTGTTCTAAGAAGCTCACAAGTAAAACTCAAAAGACCGCAACTTGTTCCCTGCCGCTGAGACAAAACCTCTGTCTCTTGATGGTTTCAACTTCTTCCTTGTATTTCTCGAATCTCCTTCTAAACCGGCAAGGCGTTGTCTCATTCGGGCCTTTAGGTTGTGTTGAGAAGTTAGTTCATCCTTTGTCCGGTCTCCAACTTTCTTCTGTCTGCTTTACCAAGCTCCTGATATTTCTCATGGTTGCTAAGGGTTTGCTACCAGTGAAATATATTAGAGAGCATCCAAGCTGGATTTACTGAGATTCACATTTCTGGTCCCCCCACCCCTTTTGAATCACCTATGTTTACGGGAGATTTTATAGAAGCAGCTCTAAACAGATATATATGACTAGAAAAGTATTATACATTTGAACTTACGAATTAAAAAGAACAAAATAAAAATAAATATTTGACCTTTACAGGGAGGAGTCATAAAATAAGGGTGTGGCTGGCCGATGAAGTCTCATAAGACAGAAATAGTACTATCCCAGTCTCCCTTAAGTCTCCCTCTCCCTCTCTCCCTCCCTCCCTCCCTCTCTCCCTCTCCCTCTCCCTCTCTCTCCCTCCCTCCCACCCTCCCTCTCTTTCTCTCTCTCTCTCTCTCCCTCTCTCCCTCCCCCTCCCTCTCCCACTCTCTCTCATCCTTAGTACTCTCTTCCACTTGGTTGTTTTTTGCAAATGTTTCATTACCCAACTTTGTAACACCACTGCACAGGGCACTGATGAGGTTACCTAGAAGGGTAATGAAATGTCTATAAGAAAACAGCCAAGCGTGGAGAAGATCAATGACCCACAGTTCAACCCTGAGATTCAAATTTTCCTTCCTTCCTTCCTTCCTTCCTTCCTTCCATCCATCCGAAATTTCATACCTGGAAGCATTAGCTCAGTCTGACTGCTAATTTCCTCCTAAAACAGCCTTTCCAACCAAGAGTTCCAAATTTTGTCTCCCTAACTTCCAGATCAGAGGCCAAAGGTCACATTGCAACTAAGAGCCTTGATAGTACAGTGGTCTACACACCCTGTTATTAACACAGCTGCCTGCAATTTACTGCTGGTTCGAATCTCTCCAAGGCTCAAGGTTGACTCAGCCTTCCATCCTTTCTAAGGTAGGTGAAATGAGGACCCAGTTTGTGGGGGCAATAAGCTGACTTTGTATAAATATACAAAAGTATGAAGGCTATTGCTTAGCACATTGTAAGCCGCCCTGAGTCTCCGGAGAAGGGCGGCATATAAATCAAATTAAAAAAAAAAAAAGTGTATGAGCTGGGGTAGGCAACCCTAAACTAAATGGGTAGATTACAATTCCACTATTGCCTATTCTTCTATGGACCCAGAGGTGGTATTCAGCCGGTTCGGACAGATTTGGGTGAACCAATAGCTGAGATCGTGGGTGGCCCTGCCCACCCTCCCCGGCACTAGGCCATCCTATTTAGCCACATTTCCGAGGCCGGGCGCATACATGGAAGGTGCAAGTGGGGGGGGGGGGACCGAACTGGTGGTAACAATCTCTGAAACCCACCTCTCTATGGATCCTTAGGGAGAAAAAAAAGGTTGCTGCTAATAGTGCAGGATCACAATCCCAAATGATGCCAGTTAATCAACAATGGTAAATTCCACTTTACTGTTAACTTCTTTTTCTTTTTTTGTTTTTGCATCCGACATGTGAGAGCACCAGAAAAATATTCTTCTTCTTCTTCTTTTTTGTTTTTGCATCCGACATGTGAGAGCACCAGAAAAATATACTGCTGATGTCACCTCTTCAAAATAGCCTGCTCTTATTTGTAAAAAGCTGAAATCCAGAGTTTCCTCTTGCAGGCAAATCTGCAAGAGTTGTCATAATTTGGTGTGGATGGGAAATTACGATGACACAAGGTGATATGACTAACTTCAGGATGGCGTGCCTCCGTTTGAAAAATTGCACACACCTTTCCAGACTGTAAATAGGGATGTACGCAACAACAAGGAACACCTTCCAGGGAAACCATCGCTATTCTACTCGCTTACTCAAAAGCAAGCCACGGGGGGAGTTGTGGCACCTTAAACCAGGCCAATTTTGTGTTTGTGTGCACGCAAATACACGCAAACACACACACACACAAAAGCACTTGTAAGAATTGCAATGTCTGACATGAATAACCTCCCAAAGAGTAAAGACATCAGCCTCACAGAACCAAATTCGTTAAGATTAGATACGAATTAGTTACTAAGATTATTACTAATTAAGTTAACTTGCCTTAACTAATTTAACAAGTTAGTAGATTTTTTTCCAATGGCTACTTTCGGCTGTGAAACTTGGACTCTGAAAAAGACAGAGAGGAGAAGGGTGGGCGCAGGAGTGAAATGCTCCTAGTTTGGACTGGATCGCCCGATCCGGTAGTGATGGCAGCGGGTGGTTTGGAGAACTGGTAGCAAAAATCCCTGCGGATCCCTGTGGTTTTGTTAGAAACTGGATCTAGCCCAATAACTCAAAGACATAGCCCAATTCTTTTCAGTAGTTTTATTGTTGATCTGTTGGTACTGGAGGTCACTGACCTTGTACCTTTCTCTTTCAGGTATACATCTGGAATCGATTGTGGAACATGTGGTTGGACCTTTTGTACCCAGGAGGAGGGGCCAAGAGGTAAGGAGTGGTTACAGGGATTATGGGATATGTGGTTAGTTAACCCTTGAAGGACCGGGTGGTCAGGGAGATGTAGTAGTTAGGCATTTATCATGACAAAACCCCCTCTAAATGCCTAACTGGGTACCTGGGGCAATGTTTGCATACATACAGGAAATACACAAGTACAGACATGAATTACAAGCAAACATGCATTTTTGACATTAGGTAAGCATGTTGTTTATGTGGTAGGGGTTTAGTGAGAATATCTGCTGTTTGCTCCTCTGTGTCACAGTGTACTGCTCTAATGAAGCCTATCTCTGAAAACTGCCTGACGTGTTTGTATTTAATGTCAATGTGCCTAGAACGCTGACCTATGGCATCGGCCCTAGAGATCTCTATTGCTGCTTTGTTGTCTTCGTGGATAACTATTGGATATGAGGGTTCAGCCCAGATGTCGCAGAGCAGGTCATCGAACCATACTAAATTGTTTGCGGCCTTTGACAGGCAAACAAATTCTGCTTCCGTAGTTGATGTGGCCACCAGTTTTTGCTTCCCAGTGTACCAATGGATGGGGCAATTGTTGAGTAGTAGCACGTAGCCAGAGGTGCTTTTTCTGCAACCTATGTCCCCAGCCCAGTCAGCGTCAGCATAGCAGGTTAGCTTTGGTTTCTCGGATGTTTCTGGTTCTAGGCAGAGTAGGGCATCCGCACTGAATTTTAAGTATCTGAGTAGTCTTTTGATGGCGTTCCAGTGTGTTAACGTGGGCTTGCTTACATGCCTGGACAGTAGATTGACGGCTAAGGCGATGTCGGGCCTGGTCCAGTTGGATATGTACAGCAGTGACCCTATCGTTGATCTATACAATTTGTTGTCTGTGAAAGGTTCAGATTCCTCATACATGGTCTTCAGGAACTCAGGTTGCATGGGGGTCTCGCTGGGTTTTGCTTCGGACATGTTGCATTTGAACAGCAGCTCGATGATCTTTTCTCTCTGGGAGAGGCGGAAGCCCTTGTTGGTTTTTATCACTTGGACCCCTAGGTATCTGTCAATCTTTCCAAGTGACTTTAGGGAGAAGTGGCTACCCAGGTCAGTGGCGAACTTGTCACATCTGTCCTTGTGTTTGCTGATGTACAAGATGTCGTCCACGTAAACGAGCACACCCTCGAATGTGTTGTTTTCTCTCCTCGTAAAGAAACATTTGTCGGCTGAGGTGGCCTCGAAGCCCATGGATCTGAGGGCCTTGGCCAGGCAGTCATACCACCTTTTGCCTGACTGCTTGAGCCCGTACAGGCTTTTGTTCAGCAGCCAGGTTTGGTCCCCGCCTTTGTTGTACCCAGGCGGCGCTTTGACGTATATTTCTTTATCCAGCTCGGCGTGTAAGTACGCTGTTTGTACGTCGAACTGGAAGACCTCCAAGCCCAGGATGGTGGCCACCACCAGGGCGCTTTTGACGCTTTCCGCCCTGACGGTTGGCGAGTAGGTGTCCGTATAGTCTTCGGGGTATCTTTGGGCGAAGCCCTGCGCGACTAATCTTTCCTTGTATAGGACCTTGTTGTCCTCTAATGTCTTAACCCTGAACACCCATTTGGTTCCTATTGGTTTTTTTTCCTCTGGAACTTGGGCAGGTGAGTATACCTGGAGGTTCCTTAGGCTTTCCATCTCCTTCTCCATGGCAGACATCCATTTTTCTTTTTCTTCCTGGGGGAGCCCGAGGATGTCCTCATATGAGCTGGGCGTGAAATGGGTGTTGTGGATGGTCATAACGTAGTCCTCTAACTTCTTTGGTAGCTTGTTTCTGGTTTCTCTGATTGGCCTGCTGGGGGTTGGCTCGGTTTCCTGCATGTTGTCTGCCTCATTGTCTGTCAGGTCGTCTATCTTCAGTGAAGGGTGCCCTTCTTTCCAACCTTTGACGCTTGCCTTGCGATGGTTGGCTTTGTGCCCTGTGACCTCTCTGACCTCCCTTTCCCCTTGGTCATGCTCGAACGTGACCCTATTGGTTGGGATGTCATTGGAGTGTACCCTCGACCAGTTTGCGTTTTCGTGGAAACTGGCTGATCTGGAAACTACAAAACGGTTATTGTTGTCGACAAATCTGTAGCCCTTTGTGCCCGGTTCGTAACCCACGAACCTTAACCTTTTTGATAATTTCTCCCCCTTTCTTCTTAGCTGCCTGGGAATGTGGACATCAGCTGGGGCGCCGAATATGTGTAAGTGAGCAATGTTGGGCTTTCTGTTGTATAGCATCTCGTATGGCGTCTTATTGATAGAGCTTGACCACAGTCTATTCAGGGTGTAATTGGCGTAGTGTAATGCCTCTGACCAGAAATGCTGCCCCATCCCTGCATCCTCCAGGGCGCATCTCATCATGGTTTGCAACACCCCGTTCTTTCTCTCTGAGACTCCATTTTGGAAGGGGGAGAAAGGTGAAGAGGTGTAATGCGCTATGCCCTGCTCCCTCAGCCACCTTGTGAATTCTTTGGCCATGAACTCTGAGCCCCTATCAGTCATTATCTGCCTTATTCTCATGTTGTGTTGCATATCTACTCTCCTGTGGAATTCTTTAAACCTTTGGAATACTTCATTTTTGTGTCTGAGGGAGTAGACATACCCGTATCTGGTGTAGTCATCCACAATCGTGAGGAAGAACCGCTTCCTATGTCCTACAGAGGGTTTCATTGGCCCTACCAAGTCCATATGCACCAGTTGAAAGGGGTATTCCGTGGTTCGTTTGGATCCCCTGGGGATGGCCTTAACCTTGATCTTAGAACGCTTGCAAACTGAACACTCCAAGTAGTTTTCGCAGTTCTTTACTTTGAGACCCTCGGTACATTCCGTCATTTTCTTTACAATGGGGAAGCTTATGTGTCCCAGTCTCCTGTGGAGGAGGTGGGCGCAGTTATCATGTAATGGCTTGCCGATAGATACAGACTTGTTTGTCTTCTCATGGCTACTTCCTGCCTCCTGCTGCACCCCCTCTGTTTCTGGATACTTATCTATCCTGTGGTTTGTGCTGGTATCAATGCCTTCTTCCTCCCTTGCGTTGGGTGTGAAGTAGGGAAGTTCCTCGTGTATGGTTACCTTTCCTATCTCTTTCCCTTGCTTGATCAAGTGTGCCTTTCCATCTTTAAATTTTATTTCTATATTTGTGTCTCGTGTTAGCCTTGTGATGGCTAGCACATTGTGGGGAATCTCTGGTATGTACAGTACTTCTTTTAAGTCCCCTACCTGTGTGATGTGTACGTTTCCTTTCCCCACTACTCTGACCTTGCTTTGGTTTGCCACCTTTATTTCTGAGTCTATTTTTGTGAGTGAGTCTAGCAGCTCTGGATTACAGGTAGTGTGACTTGTGGCCCCTGAATCTAGAAGCCATGAGTTTCTCTCTATCTTATGTTTGTCATTTGGGTCATCGTGCCTGATCCCGTACATGGAGCCAGAGCTACTCTCCCTGGAGTGGTCTCTGCGCTCGTGGTGTTTCCTGGGGTTGGGTGACCATCCTCGCCCCCTTTCCTTTGGGTACCTGCGTTCAGGTGACCTTCCCCCTCTACTGTCGTGCTGTCCCCTGTCCCTATGGTTCCTGGGGCAATCCTTCTTTAAGTGGTTCCTCGATCCACAAGAATAACATTCTGAGGTATCCCTGGCCCTATCCTGGAAATCCACCCTCTTTGTGGGTCTAGGGTCCCCTTTGGCTAGTTGGCGTTCCCTCCTCAGGGTGTCCTCTGCAACGAGCTGACTGGTCAGTGAGCCTAGTGTGAGGTATTGCAAGCTGAGGCTATTTAGTTGGGTCATGAAGATGTCCCAGCTGCTATCAAGAGAGTTTATGATTATGCTTATCATGCTCTCTTCAGTGATGATTTCCCTCCTCTGCATGAGTTCTGTCCTTGCAGCATTCATCTTTAAGATGTGCTCACTCATGGGGACCCCTGCCTTATGCTTGGTGGAGTGGAACTCCCTAGATAGTCTAGTGGTGGTGGCTCTGCTTTGGCTATAAAACAGGTTACATAGTTTTTGCATAATATCATAAACAGTTAGATTGTCCTCAATAGATGGATACATAGCAGATGGAATGGAGGTTAACATGATGCAAAATGCCCTGTGATGAATGCAGTCAATTTCCAGTGACCAGGGCTTTTGGGGAGGTCTGTTAGCTAGGAACAGTGCATTCTCTCTCATGAGAGCAACTCTTAATTGTTGGCTCCATTCTATAATATTACCCCCATCTAACTGCAGTTTTGGCAAATTGGCATAATTTGCCCCAGAAATGTTAGTAAGGTTACTTACTGGGGGGAGCTGTCCATGGTCCAAGTTGTGATTAAACTCACAATAAGGCTTTGGGATGTCTGTGGCCATTCTGTACTTGCTTGGATCTATGTAACTTGCTTCTCTTATTACAGGCAGGTACTGGGCATGCGCGAAGCTCATTCCGCGCTGGAGTCCATCGGGTGAGGTTCCTGTTGCTGGAGCTCCCAGGCCTAGGCCTAGGCCTGTTGGTGGGAGGCTGGACCCGCCCCCGGTGGGTCCGAAGATCCCCCCTGAGGCTGGACACCACTGCTGGATGGCCGGATCCCCGGCGAAGAAGGGGAGAAGGTGAGGGGGCGACGCGGTCGCAAGTCGAGGACTTTCGCGGGTCGGCGGCGCGGCAGCAGCGGAGGTCGTAGGTTGAGGATTCCCTGCACCCAGCGGCTCGGCGGCAATGGCGGCGGCGGCGGCTGATCCTCCCTCGTGGTCGCTGGTCCCTGGTCGCGTGGACTGGCCTGATGGGTGTCGTGGCGTTGGTGAGTAGCCGGTTCTTCTCTTCTGCCTCGGGCCTCGCGTTGCCGGTGTAGCGGGTGGTGAGTTCGAGTTCTGCGGTTGATTTTTCCTGCAGGTGGGCGGTCTTTTGTGCCGGTTGTTGGTGCGCGCGGAGTTTTTTGTATGCTGTGACTCGGTTGCCTGGTCTCTGTTGGTTGTCCTGGCCTTCTTGTGCCCTCCAGGATTTTTCTTTGATTTGTTGAGTGCTGCAGGAGGCTCGAAAGCGGAGCCTAGGGCAGCGGTGATGGTCTCGATTGCCTTTTGCAATTCGAGATCGGTAGGCGTTTTTCTTTTTGTTATTGCGATCTCTTCGTGGTCGCTTTCAGAGCTGGGTTCTTCGTAGTCGCTTTCTGAGCCCCCCTCGTCTGTTTCGGGATTCGGGCATTTTCGCGCCAAGGGATTCAAATCCTGGCTTCCCATTGGCTGGTGCTCGTCCCAAGATGGCCGCCGGGAAGGGGGCACGGAAATGGGTTCTGCCGGCTCAGGGTCATCGGGTTGGGGTGGCTTACCCTTTTTTGCTGGCTTTTCTTTCTCGGTGGTCTTTGGGGCCTCAATCGCTGCTTCTTGTTGCTCGAAGAGGCTTTGAAGGTCCGCGATGAGGTTTTCTTTGTCGCTGTTTCCCTCCATCAGTTTCAGGATGGAGAGTTTGAATTTTTTCATTTTCTGTGCTGTTTCTTCTTCCGGGGCGGTGATTTCCTTGGGTGGCCCCTCTTCATCTGATTGTGAGTCCAGGCTGGAGTCCTGTTCGCTTCCAGCTTCTGTCTCCTCCATGGCTGTGGCTTTGGTTGGAAGCTTCTCAGCCATCTTCTTGGTAAGAGCTCTGGTCTGTGCTCTGTTTGCTTCTTCAGGGTAGGTGTTGGGTTCAATCATTGTCTGGAGTTATGGGCAACCGACCTCTGCTACCAATTTGTTAGAAACTGGATCTAGCCCAATAACTCAAAGACATAGCCCAATTCTTTTCAGTAGTTTTATTGTTGATCTGTTGGTACTGGAGGTCACTGACCTTGTACCTTTCTCTTTCAGGTATACATCTGGAATCGATTGTGGAACATGTGGTTGGACCTTTTGTACCCAGGAGGAGGGGCCAAGAGGTAAGGAGTGGTTACAGGGATTATGGGATATGTGGTTAGTTAACCCTTGAAGGACCGGGTGGTCAGGGAGATGTAGTAGTTAGGCATTTATCATGACAGGTTTGCCATTGCCTGCTTCCTGGGGTGAAAGAAATTGACTGTCTCAAGATCATCCAGCCAAATTTCATACCTAAAATGGGACTTGAACTCACTGTCTCTTGGTGATTGGCCCAAAGTCCAGGAATTGCCAATAGTGGGAATTGTCTAAGGATGATGGCCAGTGGGTTTCAAATTTTTTTAATACCGGTTCTTGGTGGGTGTGGCATGGTTTGGTGGGCATGGCATGGTGGGCGTAGCAGGGGAAGGATACTGTAAAATCTTCATTCCTTCCCCACTCCAGGGGAAGGATACTGTAAAATCTCCATTCCCACCCCACTCCACAGGAAAGTTACTACAAAATCCCCATTTCCTTCCGAACAGCTGGGACTTGGGAGGCAGAGAATAGATGGGGACGGGGCCAGTCAGAGATGGTATTTACCGGTTCTCCGAACGACTCAAAATTTCCACTACCGGTTCTCCAGAACTGGTTAGAACCTGCTGAAACCCACCTCTGATGATGGCCTTTTGGCTATAATGTCTATACCTAACCTTTCTTGTATTCATGATGTACTTTTGAAGAGATCAGAATGATGTTAATCAAATGAAGAATAACATTGATACATTCAGTGAATTCTAGTGTGGGTATTGTCAAACAGAGCAGATTGGAACAGGTCGTTTAGGGAATTTCAAACACTTTACAGACAGCTTATGCAGTAATGTAATAATATTTTTGTCAACCCTGAAGTGGGTTCCAGCCTCAGAGTTCTTATTTCGGGGACTATATTACCTGGAACCTTGACAATTTTCTTCAGCTGTTAACCCCAGTGTTTTCCACCATGCCTTCTAAGCGCCCACCAAATTCCATGTTCTGTAGAAATTTTAGGACGATATGTACCAGAGTTCAAATATATATCATGCATAGCCATTTCTCTGTGTGGTTTCTGTTTTGGTTTTTTTTTTGGTCTCTTTTACTGGAAGAAGGAAGGAAGAAGAAGCAAAAAGGAGAAGGAAGGAGAAGGAAGAAGGAGGAGAAAGAGAAAGAAAGAAAAAAGAAAGAGAAGGAAGGAAGGAAGAAAAGAAAAAAAGAAAAAAGAGAAAGAGAAAGAAAGAGAAAGGAAGAAGGAAGGAAGGAAGGAAGGAAGGAAGGAAGGAAGGAAGGAAGGAAGAAAGAAAGAAAGAAAGAAAGAAAATTTTGTTATAGACCAATTGTCAAGCTTCGTTGTTATCTCCAAATAAATGAATTTCCAAACGCCCGATCTTCGAGGAAATTTTTCTCTTTATTGAGCATAACGAACTGACCCTGACTCAATGCGCAGTTAGCACTGAACTTTGCCCCCCCCCCAAAACCTCTCTTTCCGGTTCCCAATTCTCTGCGTCTCATTGGCCATCTTCCAAGTCACTCTTCTCATCCCATCTCCGTCAGTTCACAGGAATGTCCCCCCCCATCCCATCTCTGTGGAGACAGTTCTTCAGGGGAATTAAGTAGGTGAAAGTTCAAGCCTCTCCTCTCCGTCCTTATGGCAGCTTGGAAGCTGACACCAATATCCTTGGAACTTGATATGGTGGTTCCTGGGCATCAGGTTCATTGACAAGACTTTGGAAAAAAGTTCTACACTCAACTCAACATGTCTTGACTGGATCTAGTCTCATAAAGGTCCCCAACACTTCACAGCATTCTAGAAAGGTTTCTTTGCATACCTGAAAGAAGCCACTAAAATACTTGAACATCAACGTGAAAACAGAATTCCTCTTTAATGTATGTCGATTCTGATGTTTCCATCTCCCACCCTTCCCATGGTTTAATGGACTTTTCGCCTTAATGCTTCTCATCCTTGAAGCTCAGTGGCTGTTGATTGTTGGCATAACTGATATCTCTGTCTTAAGAAACACTGGTTGTTTTTAAAAAAAACTCTGGTAATTCTGATCAATGGAACACAAGCCACAAAGGCAGAGTCAAGGGAAATTCCATCTGGTATGATGGATGGACCTGTAATTCTGACCTAACAAGAAGCAACTGCTTGTAGAGAGGAGAAATGTGGAATAAGCCTTTACTGTAAACCGGACCTCCCGTAAAGTAAGTGTAGAAATGACTCCAGGAACCCAAAAAGAGATTCAGAACTTTACTGCGACGGTTCCACAATCATCGTTGTGAACTGGCAGGATTTTACTGGGGTTCCAAATAACTGCACCTCACTTTTATAAGAGCCATGGTGGCGCAGTGGTTACAGTGCAGTACTGCAGACTACTTCTGCTGACTGCCAGCTGACTGCAATTTAGCAGTTCGAATCTCACCAGGCTCAAGGATGGCTCAGCCTTCCATCCTTCCGAGGTCGGTAAAATGAGAACCCAGATTGTTGAGGGCAATAGGCTGACTCTGTAAACTGCTTAGAGAGGGCTGTAAAGCACAGGGAAGCAGTATATAACCCTGTGTTTCTGAAAATAAGACCTAACCCAAAAATAAGCCCTAGCATGGTTTTTTTATGTGTGTGTATGTGCCTAATATAAGCCCTACCCCTCAAATAAGCCCTACTTAAGAGCCAGCGCAGCCGGCTGCCCACCCATTCCATCTGGTTGCCCATGGTGCTGCCGCCATGAGGTGAGGGGGTGGTGGTGAAGCTGCCACACGTGCCCTGCACTGGCTTTCCTCAGGGCCCAGCTGATCGTCTAGAAGGAAAAAACCTGTTTAAACTCTTGCTGCGGGGCTTCAAAGGGCTGCCCTACAGCTGATCAGTGTTAAAAGGCAGTGTGGTGGTAGACCGGGGCCTCCAAAAACGAATGAGTAGATGAGGGCCTCCAAAAACAAATGAGTCGACCGGTACAGCTCTGCAAGCAGTTAAAAGCCTGGTAGACCAATACCTCTGCTAAATCCTAAAGAATTATCACATGACCATCAAGCCACACCCACAAAATAAGCCATGCCCACAGAACCGGTAGTAAAAAAATTTAGAACCCACCCCTGGTGTCAGGGCGTGGGTGGCCTACTTGTGGAGGCCCTGAGATAAGCCAGTGTGGGGCGCAAGGGGCAGCTCCACCACCCCCTGCCTCATGGCGGTGGCAAACAAAAGTGGGTGTCCTGTAAAAGGGGAAAAAATAAGACACCCCCAAAAATAAGCCCTAGTGCTTATTCTGGCACCCAAACGAAAATAAGACCTGGTCTTATTTTCAGGGAAACATGGGTAGGTCTAAATGCTACTGCTAAGTGCTATAACTACCCCTAGGTCTCCCTGTTGTTTCTTCGCCTTTTGTTTTCTTAAAAAATCTTTTTAAAAACCCATAATTTTTAAGATGGATAAGCCGCAAAATACCTTTAATGGGTAATGCTTGGAACCTTTTAGTTCCAAAAACTTTCACTGCACTGCACTGGCTCCCGGTGGTCTTCCGGGTGCGCTTCAAGGTGTTGGTTATCACCTTCAAAGCGCTTCATGGCATAGGGCCTAGCTATCTTCGAGACCGCCTGCTGCTACCGATAACCTCCCATCGACCCGTGCGCTCCCACAGAGAGGGCCTCCTCGGGGTGCCATCAGCCAAACAGTGTAGGCTGGTGACCCCCAGGGGGAGGGCCTTCTCTGTGGGGGCACCTACCCTCTGGAACCAGCTGCCCCCAGAGATAAGGAGAATCCAAGACCTCGGTGCCTTCCGTCGTGCCCTTAAAACCCATTTTTTCAAGCAAGCCGGGCTGGCTAAAGAAGAAATTTTTAAATGTTTTAATTGGTAGTGAGTTTTAATTGGGCCAAATTTATATATGTTTTAATTGTTTTTTTTTTAATATTTGTACTGCATGTTTTTTAATTCTGGCTGTACACCGCCCTGAGTCCTCAGGGTGAAGGGCGGTATAGAAATTCAACAAATAAATAAATAAATAAATAAAGACATCAAAATTTTGCCTGTGATGAAGTAATAGGAAAGGGGTGGGGGAAAATGAACAATTACTTTCAGCTCGCATCCATCTAGCATCAGTTCTGTTTTCTGGCTTGCTATCAGAAGGTCATAGCTCCCAGGAGGAAACGAAGCAACAGGGTACTTCTTTACCTTAAGGTGAGAAATATTTCTTTTTATGTGATTTTTATTAAAGTTTTTTTTTAAAAAAAAGGAAAATAAAAAGTAAGAGGAGCAAATATAAAGGAAGCAAAAGGAAGAATTCAAAGGGAAAGTGCGAGAAAGGAGGGAAAGTACAGGAAAATGGAAAAGAAAGACCGACAACACAAAAAAAGTTGTTCTTGGTCTTCTTTATAGCTGTTATAATGATAAATTTGCCTTTTACTTTATGGTAAATTTATGGTACATGGCTTTTTATGATTTATCCTATAAACATAAAACGTAAGTTCATTTTCCCCCCTATTTTATGCAAAAAGCCAATAAGGGGTTTTCCAGTCCGCATTCAATGTAGAAGTTGTTTCTTCTCTAATCAAAGACGTTAATGTAGCCATCTCAGCAAGTGCCATCATTTTCACCCAATCTTTCCATCTTTGTATGGACAATAATCTCGACGCAGTTAACGTGCACAACAACAAAATTCCATGATTGAGGTAACAGAATAAAAGAGTTGGAAGGGACTTTGGAGGTCTTCTAATCCAACTTCCTTCTCATGCAGGAAACCCTCTACCATTTCAGACAAATGCTTGTTCAATCTCTTCTTAAAAACCTCCAGTGTTGGAGCACCTACAACTTCTGGAGGAAAGTCGTTCCACTGATTAATTGTTTTCAGTGTCAGGAAATTTCTTCTTGGTTCTAGATTGCTTCTCTCCTTGATTAGTTTCCACCCATTCCTTCTTGTCCTGCCTTCAGTCCTGCCTGAAGAAGCTTCTCGGTTGAGAATGTCTTCAAAGACATTCAACAAAATCCAGTTAGCCTTATGGAAAAAGCACCTTTGGGATAGTTTCATGTAACTGAATAAAGGGAAAAGGTTTGGAGAGGCATGTTGTGTTGAAGGCAACAGAGATGTCTATAAAGGCAGAAGAAGAAGGAAGAGGAAGAAGAGCCACAACCAAACTAACACTCAAATAACAGAAATTTAAGTTTATTTTATTTTATTGAATTTATATACCACCCTACTCCCGAAGGACTCAGGGCGGTGAACAGCCATAGAATAAAACATTTAAATACAAAATTTAAAATAAAATAAAAAATGAATTAAATAATTTGGCTGAACAAATTTAAAACCCCAATAATTTAAAAACAAATTTAAAATTTCCATTTAAAAAGGGGAAAGGCTTAGGTCAGGCCAGCTTGGTGAAGCAAGAAAATCTTGAGCGCGTGACGGAAGATACACAGATCTGGGATCCTCCGTATCTCCGGGGGGGGAGCTCGTTCCAGATAGTAGGTGCCCCCACAGAGAAGGCTCTCCCCCTGGGGGCCGCCGGACGACATTGCTTGGCCGACGGCACCCGGAGGAGCCCCTCTCTATGGGAGCGTACTGGTCGGTGGGAGGCTATTGGTGGTAGCAGGCGGTCTGGTAGATAACCAGGTCCTAAGCCTGGTTAGATTGGTTAGATTGGTTCTTTCCTTTATGAGTTTCCATCCGTTGCTTCTTGTCCTGCCTAGAGGTTCTTGGAGAATAGCTTGATTGCCTCTTCTTTGTGGAAGCCCTTCATATATAGAAACACTGCTATCATGTCACCCTTAGTCCTTCTTTTCACTACACTGGACATACCCAATTCCTGCAAACTTTCTTTAGATATTTTAGACTTCAGTCCCTTTCTGGGGTGAAGGACAGTTAAACGTTTTCCTTTAGAAGTGGGGTCTTAGAAGATAACTTGGAGTGCCGTAGCACTAGAGGAAAAAAGAGAGGCCATCAGCTTAAATGACTAAATGCAAATGGATTTCACACAGCGCTTTTCAGGAAAGTAGAGAAACCACAGCTCAGTTGCGGTTCCCTACTAACAAGAGGACAATTCTGGACTTTTTGCACATAACACTGTGAACTGGTTATATCAGTTGTATCCACAGGCTATTCTACACAAGCTGGCATCCCTGATCTAAAGGTAAAGGTAAAGGTTCCCCTCGCACATATATGCTAGTCGTTCCCGACTCTAGGGGGCGGTGCTCAACTCCGTTTCAAAGCTGAAGAGCCAGTGCTGCCCAAAGACGTCTCCATGGTCATGTGGCCGGCATGACTAAATGCCAAAGGCGCATGGAACACTGTTACCTTCCCACCAAAGGTGATCCCTATTTCTCTACTTGCATTTTTTACATGCTTTCGAACTGCTAGGTTGGCAGAAGCTGGGACAAGTAACAGCTCACCCCGTTATGTGGCACTAGGGATTTGAACTGCTGAACTGCTGACTTTTCGATCGACAAGCTCAGCTTCTTAGCTATTGAGCCACCACGTCCCTTATCCCTGATCTAGAAATGCCTTGAAAGCCAACATTCCACGAGCTAGGAAATATAACCAGTGTTCTGATGGCCCAGGATGCATTTACCAGATTTGTATGGACCCTGGTGGGATGAAGAATAGTTTCCAAGTATGACAAGATTTGGAGAGAAAGAATGAGTAATGTTGGTTTGGCTACACTTGTTCTTTCTCATGTCTTTAATTTTTTTAATTGGATTAGATTGGGTCTTAATTTGATTGGTCTTTTCTTTGGTCTTTCTTATTCCTCTTTTGTGCTCTGCATGACTAAAACATTAAACAAAATTAAATCTCAGATATAGCAATAGCACTTAGATTTAAACTGTATATTGCTCCATATTTACGAGACCACCTTCTGCCACTGGTAGCCTCCCACCGACCAGTACACTCCCACAGAGAGAGGCTCCTCAGGGTGCCGTTGGCCAAACAATGCCAGCTGGTGGCCCCCAGGGGGAGAGCCTTCTCTGTGGGGGGACCTACCCACTGGAACGAGCTGCCCCCAGAGATACGGCGGATCCCGGATCTGCGCACTTTCCGCCGTGCCCTAAAGACGTTTCTGTTTCATCAAGTCGGGCTGACCTGACCTAACTTTTTAAAATTGTTTTAATTTTAAATTGTTAAATTATGGGTTTTAATATAGGGGTGTTTTAACTGTGGGCCAAATTAATTTAATTGGATTTTAATATTGTTTTACATTTTGTATTTTTTGTATTTTATCTGCTGGCAATTCACCGCCCCGAGTCCTTCGGGAGAAGGGCGGTATACAAATATAATAAACAAACAAACAAATATAGTGTTTTGCAGGGTGGTTTACAATGTCAGTATATTTTCTCCCCAACAATCTGATCCTCGTTTTACCAAACTCTGAATTAACCTTCATATAAGTTCTCCAAGTTCCAAAATGTTTATTACGTTCCCTGGATGTGTCTTCTTCACCTTCTCCTTTTTTCTCTTCGCATCTCTTAGAGAAAGAAACTTAGGAAGGATCTATTCCTGATGGGTCAAACAGTTAAAAGTGACCCCTGGAAATTTATACATTCAGACTTGCAACGATTCTGTCAGGTAGCTTTACGATCAAATAGAATTTGTTTGTCAGGTTCCATTTCCTGTCCATTTTACCTGGAGGGCTGATAGGGGATGCTTGTATTTGTTCAGCCTCACGTGATTTTTGGCTTTGTGCTTTTTCTTAGCAGTCAGGAGGGTTTCCCCTCTTCCCCATTTTTGTTTGATGCTTTTCAAAGCAAGTGGTGTTGCAACAAGATAACCAAGTGGTTTCTGGCATTGAAAAGATTTCTCAACTTCCTTCCTGTTCAGCTCTTTCCTGTATGAAGGGAAATGTAGGAGGCGGAAATTCATTATTTCCTGTTTTGGCTAAGATCCCCCCACCCCACCCATGTATCCTGCCTTGACTTCATCCTACATCATTTCGTTCTATGACCTGCTTTACCTTGGCAAGGTTGCCCTGGTTGACTTTGGATTTAAAGACACTGACTGAAGAAGAGATGTCTTGATGTTGAGAGTCTGAGGAAATCTCTTTGACTAATGGCCGTCACGTTTCCACAAGCAGGAAATGGGAAGGAAGAAGGAAGAAGAAGATGAGGAGGAGGAGGAGGGAGGGAGGGAGGAAGAGGGGGGGGATTGGACTCAAAGGCCTTTGAGGTCTTCTACTCCTATCCCCTGCTCAAGCAGGAGACCCTACACCATGAAAAGTATAGAAATGTCTCCTGCTTGTAGCACATATCTGGTGAAAACCGACTCTGAAATCTCTCGCGGTTTTCACCTAATTAAAAGTAAACGTTTTTCTACTTTCTCAAAATGGTCAGTCACATGGTCCAATCATGGTGCAGGCTGGCATCTGGGCAGCATTGCTCTGCCTTCCTCCAACCAAGTGTTAGAATGTCCTTGGTTCCCAAGAGAAAATATTTTGTTTTGGCTACAGATTCCCCTCTATCTCAACTCCCCCTTCCCTATGTGGTACCTCGCTCAATAGTAGTAACTGTGAGAGGGATCTTGGAGTCCTAGTGGACAACCATTTAGATATGAGCCAGCAGTGTGCAGCAGCTGCCAGAAAAGCCAACACAGTTCTGGGCTGCATAAATAGAGGTATAGAATCAAGATCATGTGAAGTGTTAATACCATTTTATAAGGCCTTGGTAAGGCCGCACTTGGAATATTGCATTCAGTTTTGGTCACCACGATGTAAAAAAAGATGTTGAGGCTTTAGAAAGAGTGCAGAGAAGAGCAACAAAGATGATTAGGGGACTGGAGGCTAAAACATATGCAGAACGGTTGCAGGAACTGGGTATGTCTAGTTTAATGAAAAGAAGGTCTACGGGTGACATGATAGCAGTCTTCCAATATCTCAGGGGCTGCCACAAAGAGGGAGTCAAGCTATTCTCCAAAGCACCTGAGGGAAGGACAAGAAGCAATGGGTGGAAACTAACCAAGGAGAGAAGCAACTTAGAATTAAGGAGAAATTTCCTGACAGTGAGAACAATTAATCAGTGGAACAACTTGCCTGCAGAAGTTGTGAATGCTCCAACACTGGAAATTTTCAAGAAGATGTTAGATAACCATTTGCCAGGTCAGCTTCAGGGTTGACACACATCAGCTCACCCATTTCTGTGTTTTTGCTTTTAGGAAAAGGAGCAACGTTCATCGGTCTCTATCAGAAGAAGAAATGAGCAACGCCGCTCTGGAAGATTCACTCTCCAATAACGCTACTATTATAGAGTATGAGTATTACGATGATGACGCTCCAATCTATAAACTGGAAAAAGCCATGCACATCATCTCCATGGTGATCTACAGCCTTGCGTTTGTGCTGGGGGTGCTTGGCAACGGGCTGGTCATCTTCATCACCGGCTTCCGAATGAAGAAGACGGTCAACACGGTCTGGTTTCTCAACTTGGCCATTGCGGACTTCGCCTTCACTTTCTTCCTTCCCCTGAGCGTCGTTTATTTAGCCCTGAGATTCCACTGGCCCTTTGGAGGGTTCTTGTGCAAGTTGAACAGCACCGTGGCCTTCCTCAACCTCTATGCCAGCGTTTATCTCCTCATGGTCATCAGCATTGACCGTTTCTTTTCTGTCTGGTATCCAGTCTGGGCTCAGAATCACCGAACACCTCGGTTGGCTTCTTTTGTGGCTTTGGGTGTGTGGATCCTGGCCTTGGTGTTGTGTTCTCCAGTTATGTATTTCAGGCAAACAGCACCACTTGAAGAAAGCGAGGATCATATTAACTGCTACACCAATTATGGTAACCCGGAGATGCAAAAAATCAGACATCATGCAACAATCATCAGCCGGTTCATCTTTGCCTTCGTCATTCCCTTCACTGTCATTCTTTTCTGCTACGGGGCGATCGTCTTGAAACTGAGACGCAATCAGTTGTCTCAATCTAACAAACCCTTTCAGGTCATCACTGCAGTGATTGTTGCCTTTTTTGTCTGCTGGTTACCTTATCACATTTTTAGTTTCCTTGAGTTAAAAGGACATTCAGAGGTGCTGAGGATCGGTGTTCCCCTGGTAACAAGCTTGGCTTTCATCAACAGTTGCCTCAACCCCATTTTGTACGTCTTCGTGGGCCAGGATTTCAAAAAGAGACTGAGACAGTCCCTCTTTTCTGTATTTGAGAATGCCTTTACTGAAGAAAACAGCCAGACCGTATCAACTAATAAGACTAAATCTTCAATGGAGACCATGTCCCACGTGCTCTGAGTCCTGCTGAGATCTCGGTTCTCAAAACCCCTCCCCATGCTAGGTTGACAAACAAATCCCTTCTGAATCTGCCTTGCATTGCTCAATTGCCCCATCAGCTGAAGAGGTTCCTTGCTTTGAGGTTTGAAGAACCCATCACAAAACCAACTGGCTGGATGTATCTTTGCAATAGTGACAAATATCTGTAGCTCAGGTGTAGGATGAGGGTGAAAGTTCATTCTCCAAGCTTGTGGGTTGGTTTCCGAACATTTCATTACCAGGCTAGGAAACATCTCCAGTGGAGTTTAGGGAATGATACCTTTGCATGTAGCTAATAAAGATGTTCTGTTAATACATTTCTGTAATCCTCATCTGGTTCCCAATGAAAATAGGTACCGTATTTTTCAGAGTATAAGACGCACGTTCCCCTCCCCACTAAAAAAGGGTGAAAATTTGGGTGCGTCTTATACACCGAATGTAGCCAAAAACGTGAAGCACAGAGGAGGCAATGGTCTATGGCAATCCGTGCATCCTGGAACAGTTGATTGGGGGTATTCCGGGAGACCGATCCACCCACCAATCAGCTACTCATGCTGAATCAGGCTGCAATAATGTGCTGAAGCTGACCTGGCTGTTTGCTATTTGCTGCAAGGACTGTCAGAATTTGCAGCAGCAAGCAAAACACAAGCAGAAGAGAGGAGTTTCAGTTTTAGTTTCAGAGATCAGCACAGCATGCAGCTTTAGAACAATCAACCTAAGCCACACCCAGGCTCCTTGCTGTCTCCTTCCTTGTTGCTCACACAGCAAATATTGTTTCCATTTCCAAACAGTTTCACACATTGACAGGACGCTAGCCAGATGAATACTGATGGATGCTGGTAGATAGAGGCAGAACATTTTTTTTTCTTATTTTCCTCCCCCAAAACTAAGGTGTGTCTTATACTCCAGAGCGTCTTATACTCCAAAAAATACAGTATATGCATTTTCATGAAAACCCACAGATCACAGTGGATTTCAGTTAAAACCCTTTGCAATCTGATCATCAACGTAAATACAATTACTACGTTGTAAAATAACTTAAGAAGCATGAAATGAATGGCTTGCTTGCTCTCCCACATCCATGTATTTCTCATGTTCAAAAATATCCTTTCATCTAATTGTAGAGTTGGAAGCCTTATCAGCATATGTCCCTATCCCTCTTCATACATTCCCAGATTCTGCTTGAGAGACTTCTAGGACTTATTTTCTACCAATAATGACTTTTGCGCACTTTTGCTATAGATAATTGCTTTCATTGCTGTAACTTTGAACAATTGCTAAACAAATGATTGTATGTTAAGGGCTACTTGTAATGCTGCTCCAAAGGAGTTTTGGATAAACATGTTCTTTATAGAATAATAATAAAAAAAATAAAGCACTTCTGCCTCAGCTGTTTATCAATAGCACCCCAAATGTGAGGTGGTACCTCACAATTCTTCAAGACGACGGATCAGTTAAGTACAAAAGTAAGGAGGACTTCTGATGTGGGAGATGTCCACAGACTCCTAAGTATCATGCTTTCTCCTGATCTTACCCTGTTTTGGCTCAATAGAAGGTTTGTTGCACGTGAGGATGGATTTTGGGTGGCAAATTGAGGTGGGCTTGTTGTTTGGGAGGGACTGTACTTGGGTCAGATACTCTTCAGATACTCTACTTAGTATCTGAACAGGTAATGGAGGACATGGACACTTGGAAACTGTCCATGTATACACACATGCACACCAGTAGTGGGTTTCAAATCCCGGTGCTACTGGTTTGCTATCAGTAGCATGCGGACGTGTGGGCTCGCTTTGCAAGTGGCACTTCTGTGCATGCACAGAAGCTTTTGTGCATGCACAGAGCATTTTTGATGATATCTGGGCAGGTGGGCGGAGCCTCCTGCCACCACCACTACCGGTTTGCTCAAACTAGGGTGAACCGGGAGCAACCCACCACTGACACACACACACAAACACACATACTGTACAGTATCAGTGGTGGAATTTAAATTTTTTTACTGCTGGTTCTGTGGGCGTGGCTTGGTGGGCATGGTGTGGCTTGGTGGGTGTGGTAGAGAAAGGATACTGCAAAATCTCCATTCCTACCCCACTCCAGGGGAAGGATATTGTAAAATCTCCATTCCCACTCCACTCTGGGGCCAGCCAGGGGTGGTATTTGCCGGTTCTCTGAACTACTCAAAATTTCCGCTGCCGGTTCTCCAGAATCATAGAAAGTAGAACTCCGAGGCAGGTGTATTCTTCAAGGAACAATTTATTGGACACATCATATTAGTACAACTGGTGAAAACTGACTCTGAAAGTTCTCGCAGTTTTAAAAAGTGAACGTTTCCCCTTTCCCCAAGTTGCTGGTCACGCTGTCCAATCAAGGTGCTGGCTGTTTGTTTACTTCACCCCTCCTCTGATCAGCCATTTGTGAGAATGTCCTTGGTTCCCACAGGAAAACTTTTTGTTTTGACTACAAACCCCCAACTATCTGGTTCCCCCCCTCCCTGTCCCTTCTTCTTGCTTACGGCGACCCTGAATCCTCCAAGATGGCCTCCACCAGGTTCATTTCAGAGTTGACATTGTATGTGTGTATACACCCCCCCACACACACAGAGGCCTACATGTATATGGAATTACTTTTTCCAGCATCAGAAAAACTGGCTTTCCCATCACTATATTTTTCCAACAAATCTTTATTTTCAAGAACATATGCTAGTGATAATATAGAATCAATGATGACCGTCTTTTCAGATTTCCATTTGGTCCAGTTGTACACCATGTTCACTTTAGTTAGTAATAGCTAACTGTTTTCTGACCCAGCTCTCAAACATGACAAACCCTCCAAATATTCCCTTTATTAGGAGCACCAACAGCCCTGGCAAAAAGTCCCCCCCCCTCTCTCTCCCTCTCTCTCTCTCCCTCCCTCCCCCTCCCTCCCTCCCTCTCTTATTCATCTCTGCCCTCTGCCTTTTATCCCCAGAGCTAGGGTGGGCTTCGCTATCAGTGGTGGCTCTTCTGTCCCAAGGATCGGCCCATAGATTTCCACTGCTCTCCTCTCCTCTGCTTTCTGCGCATCCGCGTGTCAGGCACTGGGCCCAGCTGTTCCTCCTCTTCCTCATCAGCCACCTCCAGACCTGGGGGCTGTTGACTCTCCATCTGAAAAGCTCAAGGTTGACTCAGCCTTTTATCCTTCCGAGATCGGAAAAACGAGGACCCAGATTGTTGGGGGCAATAGGCTGACTCTGTAAACTGAAGTGGTATATAAGTCTAAGTGTTATTGCTACTGCTATTAAACGCAAGATGGAAAGGTCCTTTGAAATATGGAAACAAAATTATTTTGCCGTCAGAGCACCCTGTATCTTGAAAGTCCATGAAACTCACAGCTGCACATAACATAAATTTAGCTAATTGCAAATTACTTTGATGAAAACAAGCAAACACATAGAATTATATTACATAAAATTTATCAGGGGGGAAAAAGTAACCGACCTTTAAATAGTCTTAAACTTCCTAATAGACTAGAAGTCAGACCAACCCTAAATAAGGAGGCAGGAAAGCAATTATAAAAGGTAATCATTATCCTATTTTTACAATTCTTTTTCATAGCTGGTGAATAAGATTATCAACAGAAATTAGAATACACATGATACGTATTATACAATACATGTTACAAAAATAGCGATATGAATAATAGAAAAACCAACTCTATCCCAATGAATTCATCTCCTAGAATTTAATGCTTTAATCGCCGAAGAGGTTGTAGAAAAAATGGTTTTAAAAGTTTAAAAAAAAAATTGGCCACGCCCACCCAGTCACATTACCCCCCCCCCCCACCAAGCCACGCCCACAGAACCGGTAGTAACAAATTTTAGATTTCACCACTGGACTACAGCTATAGGCCTGTTCTCAGTAGAAGAAGAATAACTCACACTATACTGGATTCCCCTATTCCTGAAGTGGAACCAGAATTCCTATTACTTGAAAAAGAGGACGTGGTCCAGTTTTCACTAAAAGCACTTTTGAAGGCTGAGAGGAAGGAACGCCAGCTAATTTTTCTACAATCTGGACCCACGAAAGCATATAGGAATGGATTGAGGCAGCTGTTGAGGCACACCAGACCATTAGCCAATGGCAGGCCAATATCAATGACAACTCTCATTTCAAAGCGCTCATCAACCAAGTTCTCTAGAATGGAGAAGAAGTGGTGAGGGAACCAACAGCAGAAGAACGCTACCACTACCACCACGATGATCTTGAAGGATCTACCAAACTGACCAAAGAGCTTCCTTCTGAGCTTAAAGACAATGATGAAGTAGCAAGCCAAGATGATGTTGAAGGGGATGAAGAACCCAATTACAAACTCAGTCACCACCATAGAAAGATGGGACTTGTGGCTACTGGCTTCTTCCAAGCCAAAACTATAGGAGCACTTTATAGAGTCGTCCGTATCATATTCCATGTCCCGGAAGTAGAAATAGGGCGTACTGAGTCCCAAGGCCATCATCCAGATAAGGACAGCTATTATGGAAGCCAGCCGAAGGGTACGATGGTTCAAGGACCAAACGGGACACCCTACAGAAACACAACGGTCAACACTGATGGCTGTCAAGAAGAAGACGCTGGCAAACATGTTTAGGAAAGACACCATAGTGTCCAGTTTGCAGAGTAGCCGCCCAAGAATCCATTCATCGAGGGCAAAATAGAGCAACTCTGGGAACAGAGAAAGGTCATAGATGAAATCAGCCAGAGCCAAGTTGAGATACCACATGGTGGTTACGGTCTTCTTCATTTGGAAACCAGTGAGGAAGATGACAAGGCCATTGCCGATGGTCCCGAAGAGTAAAGTGGTGCTGTAAATCACCATGGAAACCACATGCATTATGCTTGAGGTTTCAATATCACCATACAAAACCTCAGAATCATTCCCGCTGAAATTATAGGTGTCAGTCTCAAAGTAATCATTATATGGAGCAGAAATGAAGGGATCCATCCTTCTGAGGTTCGGTCTTTATTCTTCTTCTGACCCTAAAAGATTAAAAAAAAAAGATATTTCTTTTGTGTGAGAAGTGAGCAAAGAGGAAGAAGAAAATGGCAGTGGAGTTCTGATGGCAATCTTTCAGAGTTCCATGGCCGAAACCTAATTTCATATTTCAAAAAGAAATTTTTGGGAATCTATGTATTTATTTATTGAATTTCTATAGTCAAGCCTCTTAACGAGTGACTCATAGGCAGTATTCATCCTAAAAACATAAAACAATAAAGTAATTAAAACAATACAGAATCAAAATATACGGTTGCCAAGTAAAACTATTGCCATAGATGTTAATATAGGCAAGAAACGGGGCCCTTAACACATTCAGGGCCCAGAACAGAGCATATTTAATTTCTTGGATACTTCTGACATGTAAGTCATTCATGCGCAGACTAATATTTAGCGTAGAACTCAATGACTATGAATTTAAAGCATTTAGACCTGAGGTTCTGTATCCAGACCCAGGAACTTCCTTCTGGTGAGTCCAAACAATAGATCTTTTTTCCAATGTTCCTGATGTTCAAGATATTGGTTCCAAATTTGAACCTTGGTAAAGCTTTGAGAAGGGGAAGGCATCTTTCCAGGGCAATCAGAAAAAAAAATATATTCAAGAATGAAATGAATATTCTCAAGTTTTTCAAAAGAGCCAACTCATCAGTCTTTCGCTGCCCAAATAGAAAGATCCTGGGGCACCTTAAAACTGATCGTATTTATTATCTCATAAGGTTTTGTGGAACACAGCAATCACTGTGATCCAAGAAAACTGCAAATAGAGTTATCCTGGGACCATCAGTTCTGTCTGATAAAAGTGGCACAGATAAGCTCAGAACTTCAACAGCTCTCATTAGGACTTTGCCTGCATGATTTATTGCTATTATACAGCACCATCGGTGTCTACCCAGGATCTGTAAATCTGCATTTCTTCACTACATCAGAATCAGAATAGAGTTGGATAGGACCTTGGAGGTCTTTTAGTCCATCCTTCACTGCTCAAGCAGGAGATCCTATACTATTTCAGACAAGTGACCGTCCAGTCTCTTCTTAAAAGCCTCCAGTGATGAAACATCCACAACTTCTGAAGGCAAGCTATTCCATTGGTTAATTGTCCTCACTGTTAAGAAGTTTCTCCTCAATTCCAAGTTGCTTCTCTCCTTGATTATAGTGTCCATCCAATGTTTCTTGTCTTGTCTTCTGGTGCTTTGGAAAATAAATTGACCCCCCCCCCCACTTCTCTGTGGCAGCCTCTCAAACACTGGAATCTGCTATCACGTCCCCTCTAGTCCTTCTTTTCTCTTGACTAGCCAAACTCAAATCCTGCAACCCTTCTTCATATGTTTTAGTCTCCAGGGTTTTGTCCTATTTG